CTTACTCCGCCCTTTACTCCCCTCCCCCAACCTTGACTCCTGGAGATTTCTAGTGGGGAGTGGGCCGATTTCACCAGTCCCCGGCCACACCCACAGCCATCATCGTCCTCGTGGGCTGAATCCCCCCGGCAAGCACAGGTCCCTCCTAGCGTAAGACCGCCGCTGACCGTGAGGCGAAATCCACACCTCTCCGCTCCCGCTCATTTATCTTTGAAATCAGCCCCGCAACCCGCCCCACCGTGGGCCGTGGAGCCAGAGTAAATGGGAGAAGACGTAGGAAAGATCTGGCGGCAACACTGTGGTGCGGGATTTGGCTCCGGACTCTCAACAGACGTCCCCAGCTAGTGTGAGCGCTGCGAGGTCCCTCCTCAACCCCTACTCTGCCCTTTCTGGGGTGCATGTCCTAGAAGCCAGGGTTCGGTGACAATTCCTTAGTTTTTAGTTTCAAAGTCCCTTTCCCGCTGGGAACCAGACCCTTCTGCTCCCCGCCCCTCACCCCGCCCCACTCGGCTGCCGACAAGCTGGGGCCGAGCCTGGTGCCTTGGGCGCCGTTCAGCTCCGCGCTCAGAATTTCACATTCTCGTTTTCAAAGACAGCGGGACTCTGGGTCTGGTGCTAACACTTTTCCACTTCTCCCAGCCTCTGAGAAAATTGTGTGTGTGCGTGTGTGTGTGTTGGGGGACGTGGGACCCTTTTCTCTCGCCCTCTCACTTAACTAAAAGCTCCTGGGAACCGCGCACCCTTTTTCCGCGGAGGGTGTGGTCTTGGTCCTGAGCCAATTTCGTTGCGGGTGAGTTGGGTTTTCCGGAGATCAGTGCCCTCGACAGCTGCGCCTCCGCTGCCGGGACCTCAGCTCCTTCAGAAGCGGTGCCATAGGAAGCAACCCGCGTCGGCGCCGGGTCCGGCTGAGGGCGTGCGTGGCCTCCGGCGGGATGCGGACCGGGAAGAGCCCCTTGGCCCTCCCCCGCCCCGCCCCTCCTTCCACGACAATAGTATTTGCCTGGCGTGTAGTCCTAGATGAGCGTGCTCAGTAGGAGAAAAGTCTGTGTCGTGTAATGTGTGACCGCGTAGTANCTTTTCTCGCTCTAGAAGGAAAGCGTCGGGGATGGGGTGGGGGGTTAGGGCGTCAGGACTAGCCGAGTCCGAGAAACGCAGCACAAGTGCGGCCTGGGGCCGCGCCCTTTTCTAAAGGCGTGTCTGTGTGTACACTGTCAATAAAACAATCGATTTGAACCGGGCTTGGTGACTCTTTGTCCGCAGACTGAGGGAGGAAGCCTGGGGGCAGGGGGCGGGAGGAAACCGCAGAAAGGAGCCCGGAGGCCCCTCCCGTTGGGATCGTTTGTGAGATCTCGTGTTTGTTTGACTGTCTCCGATTTTGCCAGGTGTTTACATCCCGCGCCTGCTCCCGGTGCCTCCAGCTCCGGGGTGAAGGGGCAAAACCACGTGTGTGTAGGGGGTAGGCTGGCAGGGAGCGGGGTGGGCTCGAAGGAGAGGGTGGGTCTCTGCAGATTGAAGACGAGGAACTCCAGGGTGTGTGCGTAGGTGTTGTATGTGTGCACAATTCTCCTTGGGTTGACCCTGTCTCTGTCATGGTGTGTGCCGTGTGTGTGTGTGTGTGTGTGTGTGTGTGTGTGGACTGCCTAGTTTCTGTGTCTCAACACTGGCCCCTTAAGTTCTCTGAGAAGCCAGTGGAGAGATTCACAGGGGCAAGACTGCTGTGGCTTACACAAAAGAAGTCACAAATAACTAACTACAGAGCAGGCAAATTATAGAGAGCAGAGAAGGGAGAACCTAGCAAGCTGATTCCACAGAACAAGTTGGTACATTTAGCCTAGGAGCCTAGTATCTGTGCATAAGTATTGGGGGGGTTGCTCAGTGAATGCTGTATGGACAACTGTCAGGGTGTGTGAGGAAGCCAGGTGGGCTAAGGAGGAATCGGGTTGAAAGCACAGTGATTTAATAGTCTCAGAAATGGGGCTTCTTGAGTGGGGAACAGGAGAGGCCGAGGGGTCCACGGTGAATTTTGTGCTCTGGTCAGCCTAAAGTACTGTAGTTGGGCTGGCTGTGTGTTTCAGCTGAATCTCCCCTTAGAACCGGGAGTGGCCGGGAAGGGAGATGGAAGAGGAAAGGAATAGAAATGAGGGGAGCAAACGAAGATTCCATCACCCTGTGGGTGCTAGGTCTTCCTAATTGGACCAGTCCAGACAACCAGCATGTCCAAGCCTGTCTCCTGGCAGAGGTGGTGAATGTGACACTACTCAGGGCTGGAGCCCAGGTTCCAGCAAGGCTGTCTTAGGGGAACATTCCCTTCTGAGAGCCACAGTCCTAGCCCTGCCACTGCAGCCTACCCCACTGTCAGGGACACAGCTCAGAAATATAATCTTTTAGGAAAAGGACTGCTTTTTTCTATCTGGAAATGCTGCCTTTGAGCAGGGGGCAGGGACTGGCCCAATTCCTATGATTGGTTTAGGAATCCATCCACATGATTATTTTTGGGCACAGGCCTGGCTGTGCGCTGCCCCCACCCCCACCCCCCAGTGCTTATCATTTTGGCCCAACCCAATCCTCTGCTCAAGGGAATGGGGGGAAGGGAAAGAAGGGATCCTTCCTGCCCCCACTGTCCTAAGGATTGGGGACTCTCCTGGAGACCTCCCTTGCCCCCACCCAGGATCCTGAGTGCCCGCAAGGAAATGTGCTGAGTTGCTGAGAGTTCTGTCATTTTTTTTGGCCAAGCTTCCTAAGGATGAACACACACTACTCATCTAGGTCTCATGCTCCCTGAGCAAGGCCAGGCCCAAAGGCTCTGCTCAGAGGACAGAAATGGGTGGGTACTAGAGGTGAAAGACCAGGGTGCCATGACACTCCACTGACTGCCCATTGAGATACCAGCCCTCTTAGAGCTCTCCCATTTCTCTCAGAACATTTGACACATGCACAGAATGGTCCCCAGCCTCTCGCCTTCCTTTTAAATTTTTTTCTTTCATTTCCTTCCCCTCTCTTCTCTCTCGTCTCCTTTTCTTTCTACCTCTCCTGTTGTTCCCCCTTGAGAATCTCATAAAATCCAAGGGTTGAAAGGGACCCTGAAGACTTGCTAATTCAATTACCCATTTGAGGTTTAATTCTTTTTCTACAATGTCCCCATTAGATGGTTGTACTTATATAGACACGGGAGCTCATCATTCATGCCTTCCCCTCAGGGAATCAGTTGTTGAGCAGTTTAAAGTGTGTCTCTCCCTCAAGTAACCCCTAAGCCTGACTCTGCCACTGGCATGTGCCCTGTGAGAACCTGCAGAAATTTGGAGGTGTAATCCCCACCTCTATCCCTCACTCCAGAGCTCCAAAGCTTTTCATTCACAGACATTTTTTGAGCATCTAGTGCTTCAGGTGCTGTGCTGGCTTAGCTCTTTCCAGTGTGTTTTGTCAGAAAACTAATTTGGATGCGACATGGGAAATGGAGTCTAATGGGTTGAGGAGTGTGTGTGTGTTTGTGTGTGTGTGTGTGTGTGTGTGCTTGGGGTATGTGTGACTAGAAAATAGAGAATAATGCAATATGACAGCAGTAGCCTTGGTACTCAGAGCAGTTTATCAGGAGCAATAATTCTCTAAGTTATGGAAACCAGATGCCCTGCCTGGGAAGTGGCCTTGAATCATATTGGAAACCTGTCTGCAGAAAGGTGACTTGAAAGGAGTGCCCCCCACTCCAGTGTCTCCTAAAAGATCAGCAGGAATGAGGACCGTTGAAGGTCATGTGAGAATGTCCATTAATATAAAAGGACAAAGGGAGGTACCACTTCATTGAGGAAGAAGCAGCTATGTGGGGTCATCTGCTTCCTAATCCAGTGCCTGGAATGCAACCCTTCACCCAGGACATCTGAATAACACAACTAAAGCTAACATCTCTAAAGATTACTTGAATGAATAAATGTTTGGACTGTTACTCCCTGGCCATAAGGGAAATCTCAGTCTGAGGGCCTTGCATTTGGGTAGATAAAGGGAAGGAGGTGGCAAGCTATGACTGCCTTACCTCCAATTTAACACCCGAGCCTCAGTTACAAGACACTCCACAGGGAAAGGTGGACCTGCTGTCTGCACAAGAGGCACCATCTGCAGAGAAAGAACCATGTCTGCATGAGCACTGAGCAAGTGAAACTGGAGGGCCTCGTCCTTTCAGGAATGAGGTGTGTTCTCAGCTGAAAAAGCCAAGCCCAGGTACAGGGATCTAAGAAAGGCCTCGTGTAGAGGCCATAAATTGCCAAGTCTGACCTAACAAATAGTACCTTTACCTTGTAAATCTCCAACATAA